AAGGGCAATGATGTCCATATGCAAGCTGCTCCTTCACAAGCTGAATTGCTGTATAAGAATTTTAAAGTTAATAAAGAGAAGCTGAAATCTCAAGTGAAGGAGACAATTGTTGAGAAATATGGGAATGCAGCTGCTGACGAGGCGCTTCCAAGAGAGCTTTTATTGGGTCAAAGTGAAAGAGAAGTTGAATATGATCGTGCTGGAAGAATCATCAAAGGCCAGGTATTTTTTTAGTGTAAATTTATTTGGGTTTTAATGAGCTTTTAATACTATGCTCAGTGAAATGTTATTTCTAGGGTTAATCTCATAAAAGACCTTATATTTTGTTTTTTTTCCGGATCAAACCTCAAATTTATTATTTGCCTGAAAAAGACCTTGTATTTTTCATTTTTTCCGATCTGGTCCTTTTAGTTGAGGGTTTATTTGGATGCAATTAGAAGGTTGAGGGTTTTTTTTTTTTTTCGGAAAAAAGAAGACAAAGTTGAGGGTTTTTTTCGAAAAAAATGCAATGTTTTTTTCAGACAGAAAATAAAGTTGAGGTTTAATCCGGAAAAAACACTAAATATAAGGTCTTTTATGAGATTAACTCTTATTTTTACTGTAACTTATTTGGAAATAACCATTTTAATTTTAGTAATTTTTAATCAACTAAATCTTTTTAGTTACATTACATTTTTAGTCCTTGAATATAGCTGTTTTTTTTGGTCCCTGAAATCATTCTCTTGCAATTTTGGTCCTTATTTGTGGTTTTTATAAGGCTTTTGGTCTATTTTCCAAAGAAAATGGTTATATTTTTGGGTCCAAAGTTGCAAAGGTCAAAGTCAGCTACCAAAAATAGTAATTTTCCTTGGAACAGGGACCAAAAATGTTATAAGAATCTCAAACAAGGACCAAAATTGCAGTTATCAGCTATACTCAGGGACCAAAAATGCAATTTACTCTTTAATTTATATATATTTCTTTAATTAAATTCCAATTTTATTCTTTGAAAATAAGTATTAAACTATACAATATTATTTCATTATAACTTAGTTGGGTTTTAATGAGCTTCTATTTTTTTATCTTGATAAAAAAAAAAAAAAAGTAATTTATACAATAGAATGAAAAGCATAGTTTGTATTTAAATATAATATAAAAAAAAGGAAACATGCCAACATTCCATTTCATTGATACAATATATTATAAATTTTCAGGAAATGGCTCTTCCTAAGAGCAAATACGAAGAGGATGTTTACATCAATAACCACACATGCGTTTGGGGGTCTTGGTGGAAAGGCCATCAATGGGGTTACAAGTGCTGTAAGCAGTTTATTAGAAACAGTTACTGCACAGGTGCTGCTGGTATTGAAGCTGCTGAAGCTGCATCCGATCTCATGAAAGCCAACATCGCACGCAAAGAGGCCACACAAGGTTTTACTTTTTAAAAAAAATAAAAAATTATTATTACTACTTCCTAACAATGTATGTGTTTGTGTCTGTTTTATCAGAAGTTGTTGCCCCAACCGAGGAGAAGCAGCTTGCAACTTGGGGAACCGATATACCCGATGACTTGGTTTTGGACCAAGCCAAACTCTCAGAAGCACTTAAGAAGGTAAACATTTTTCCTTTTCAACCCTTATGCTTCTCCTTTTTGCAAACTTTACCCCATTTTCATATGATATATATTTAAAATGGATTTCTACTACTGTAAATGTAGGAGGACAAGAGGCGGAGAGAAGAGAAGGATGAAAGAAAGCGAAAATATAATGTTAAGTGGAACGATGAGGTGTGTAAAGTGTAAACTAAACTTTCATCTTTTTTTACTCTTTTTCATTTTCATTTTCGTCTTTATTTAATTATATTTATAAATTTGGGTTTCAGGTGACGGCTGAAGATATGGAGGCCTACAGAATGAAGAAGGTCCTCCATGACGATCCGATGAAGGACTTCCTAAACTAAACTACTAGATTTTTCCTCTGTATTGTATAATAAGTATTGATAAAGTAAGTGCTGAATGGATAATGGATGTCCGGATATGATGTACAATGTTATATTTCAACAAGTGTGCTGTTTTACATTATTGTTTAATCTCTATTTGTAATTAGATTATTTGTGTCTTTTTTATTTTAATCATTTTATCAAAATGATTGATTAATTAAAAACCGAAATAGAAATCTAAACCTAAACCAAAAAAACTAGTCAACTGTTTTTCAAAATCATCAGACTTCATGATTAATTTCCAAAATAAGGTTAATGCTTGACATAATCATTCCGATAGATTAAAAAGAAAAAACAAAAGATATTAATTCTAGAGTTTAAACAAACATCATAGATTAACATAAGTAAAAAAAAAGTTCACAATCTTGTAGTTTTGTAAAATCTACAAAAATAATGAAACATTCATCAACTTCGATTGTTGGTTGCTACGATACTAAATCCTTGATGCATACATTTTGAAATAGTAATGCATTTATAATAATTATTATAATTCATATGCAAACAATATTATACATGACAAACTTATAAAATTAATTACTAGAATAACAAGGCGTTATCAAAATGCTAAACAAATCTTGTTTTCCAAGGGTTTGTTTGATTTCTACTTCTAATTCTGCCTTCTTCATTTGTTTCGTTGTAATACATAGCTTCTCAAATTCCCTCTTTTCTAAACATTTTAGCATTCTTGTTTTGGTTCTTGTGAGCTCTTCCAAAATTTTGTTTTCATTCTAGTTTATGAATGCCTACTAGGTGTTTGACGTTTTGTTCCTTTTAATACCACACTTTTTATTGAATGCTCAAGCATGCCAAGTCTTCTAGTTGGAAACACTTTTATGAATTCTTACAATATTTGTTCCTCAAATGTATGTTTTGTTCCTTGAAGGTTAGAACTACATATATATAGTATGATTATATTAACCGATCCATAGTCATAAGCACGCCCTTTTAATGGTTTATGTGATCTACATAGTATTATAAATTCTTCTGTATTGAGATTGGATAGCCTTATTGAGATTGTAAACTCCATGGTAATCTTTTTATTGTTGGAAAAGGAGTTTATTCATATGAGGGTTTTAATTATGCAACTTTATGTTTATTAATTAAGGTTGATTTTCGAAAGCTAATTTATTTTCAACTTAGTCTCTTTATTTATCTTCTCTTTGTTGTAGCTTGTTAAACTTCCTTGCTCTCCAAATGTTGATGACATATTGAGGTTGTATTTGGAGCATCGATCGAAACACGAGTACTTTCCTAAAGAACTAGACACTCTTTTTATTTTTCGTAATTAGTTGATATCATTAGTGAAATCGATTTTGTTATGCTATTTATAATACGATTTTAACGATGGATCAATTATTTTATTATTTATATATTTTGAATTTGATGAGGAATTTGACTTTAAATGATTTATGTTTAATTTGGATTTTGTATGTCATTTTGTATATCTTTTTTAAAATTATTTAGCAACTTTATTCGGATATTTTATCAACTGAAACATTGAAACATTTTATTCAACCCAAAACAGAACAAAAACTTAAAATTATCATATTCAACATTTAACACACTTAGTCAGATACGTAATAAAACAACATGGTTTCATTCAGAAACAAATTCAGACCCAATTAGGCTTTTACTCTCACTCATATCTAACTCACCCATCAGCTATCAAACAACCCCAAAGTATGAAATGAATCTTGAACACGACCTATGGTGCCGAAAGAGGAGTCCAAAACAACCGTAGAAACCGGCATCACAAGCACATTTGAGCCTATCATTTGAAGAGCGGGATATCTTTTTTTTTTGTTCCTTCCATTATTCCAAGATATCAAAACTTTAATCACTTTGTTCACACTCATCTTGCATATATTTTCCAACTTATTCTTCCTCTCCCTAGTTTCCAATGTGCCCTTTTTCCATTTTATATCTTAAGGACGAAAGTTGTTGAATATTCATAATCTTCTAAAAACTTTCATTCTTACAATAACGAATCGGGTTAATGACTTATAAAGGTAACATAGTTTAGGTTTTATTCACATTTTTTTTTGTAACCATGACCATTAAACTTGTTTGGACTCTTCACAATACATCTTTATGACCGATTATTGTAGGGTTTTGCTATGTTGGCAACTTGGCATTATATGTGGCATATTTAACACTAAAACTATTACCCCTTCACACGATGCTGGATGTATACAAAGTTTGCCATATGTCACACCCCTAAACCAGAACAGCGGAAACGTCTGGGGGTAGATGCCTTCATTTTGTAGTATCATAACAACTAAATATGAATGAAACATAGCAACCAAACATCATACATTACAATATATCAACATTCATTGTTTTACAAATTGTACTTGTTTATCCATTACACAAAAATAGCATAAAATATGGTTGCTCAAAAGGTAGTAAAATAATCCAGATCCAAGGCTCGAGTACCTGTTCACTGAGTCCCTGAGAATACAAGTCGTTTTGAAAAGCGTCAACATAAAATATTGGTGAGTTCATAAGCATATTTGTAAGAAAACGTTGTAATATTTTTACTCATAGTAAGTCGTAAAAACCCCAGAAAATCCAATATTTTCTCTAAAAAGTAGTTTGTGAGTCTCGTTCCCAAAATCATGTATAATTGCATGCGTGAATCTTTGTTTTCCTTTATTTGTATTTGAAAAGAGTGAGTTCCCATAAAATCCTATATTTTCTGTGTATAATGAGTTGTGGTCTTAAAACCCTAAGACCCGAGTGGTGAAAATTAGTTTATAAAATAGATGAAGCATAGTTTTGTATTTTATAGGGTTTAGGTCAAAATTGGTCGCTTAACTTTCCGATTTGTTCTATTTTGGTCACTTAACTATGTTTAAGTTGTAAAAGGTCATGTAACTTTCTATTTTGTTCTTAAATGGTCACTGTAACGGGGAGTAGCCTGTAAACTGATGACTTGGCTTTCTCAGTCGGTATATTTAAGTTAGGTGGGTCTGGTACTTTGTAAACACATCATTTAGGCGCCAAATAAAGAGATTGGCGCCATGTCGTCTTCTTCCTCGTGGAGCAACAATAGAGCATCGTTCAATCTTCGAGATTTGTGTGATTGCACGAAGAAACTTAAAACACTCACTAGCTGGACCAAAGATAACCCAGGGAGAAGGTTCGAAGCTTTCCCTAATTCTATGGTAAGTCCCTGTAATCAAAAGTCTTCATTTCTTTCCCTAAAAATCTAAATTTTGTTTTTGATTTGTAGATACCAAAGTTGGATTGTGGTTACTTTCAGTGGGTAGACCCGAAATTAACTCCTTGGTATCGTCGATTGTTATACAACGTTCATGAAAAGGTGTTGGCTCATGAAGAAATGATAGAAAAACAGAAATTGTTGGTTGAGGAAATGGAGAAAGAACTCAAAAGGTACAAGTCAAAGATGCAGAAATATAAAGACAAAAACAAAGATTTGAACAAGCAGTTGACTGTGCATAAGTCTAGGGATGGAAAAGGTTGTTGTTTGGTACTTGGTTTGGTATTTGTGTTGTTAGTCATGCTATTTTATAAGTAAAAGATGGTCTTTTGTAATGGTGAAATTATAATGGGTTCTTTTCTTTATGCTGTCATGTGGTGATGTTGTTAAAGACATGTTTGGAAATGTTTTTCTGCAAGATTTTTTGTTGTGGCCCTTTTCCTTGCAAATGCTACATGTGATAACAGTACCCTGCTTACTCACTGAATGCTTCCCAAGTCTTTCTTCTCTTTCAGATATGCCCCTTTTTCTTTTAATTGTTGGTCTCCCAGGCATGCGTCTTTTCTTGGGTGGCAATGGTGGTATATACGAAGTCATCGGCCACATTGCACTTCCGTTGATAGGATTTATGTTATACCTATAAGCATTACGAAACATGTCTTTCTTAAACCACAAAGAAACATAGTCTTCTACATTTAGGTTAAGATATGTCAATGCTGCAACACCATGCACACAAGGCATTCCAGTTAGTTGCCATCCTCTACATGTGCAAGTCCTTTTCTCTAGATCAACACTATACGCTTCATTTCCATTTCTAGCTTCAAACTATTGGAATCCACTTACACACACTCGCCAAAACCTGTTACAAAAAAACCCATAAAAAAAAAACTTCCATAACAATAGCAGCCAAACAACCCATCCACAGTTTACCAAAACTAACCAATTAAAACAGCTACAACCTCACATTTAGTTGTTGCATGTCAAGTCAAAGCAATTTGAAAAGGCTATGTCAAATGGAAGGGTACCTTTGTTCCTCTTTAAGTTCATCCAGTTTATCCTTGATTGAAGGGCATACTTCTTCCTCCCATTTTCTTCCTTTAAGCTTCATCTTAAAGGACCTGTCCATGACAAACAACCGTATCTCTTCCAGCATTGTAATTATTTGCCTCCTTCGACTATGTATCAATGCACCATTAAAACTCTCAGACACTCCGTTTTCTACCGCATCACATGCCATATCCAACTTAAAGAAGGCTTGTGACCAAGTTTTAGGATCCTTTTCCATTAAATACTCGTATGCATGTACACTAACTTCCTTGATTTGGTTCATGAAAAAAGTGAAGGATTGTTCTGTTGTGGACTTGGATGCCTTCCAAAAGATTTTCTTGTAGAATTGACCTTTGAACCTTTTTAGGAAGTTCGCGTATATATGTCTCGCACATTGGCGATGTTCTACATGTGGTATCAATTCTTTCACAGCTTCCATAAGCCCCTAGTAAAACATTACAAAAATTAGTTTAAAAAGTATAAAGTATAATATCATGTCAAATGTAAATAGGAATAAACTCATACCTTATGTTGGTCAGATATGATTGTTATTCCATTACCAGTTCCAGTTACCATCCCTAAGGCTTCCATCAACAATTCTAAAAACCATTTCCGAGTCTCCTTGTTTTCAACCATGCAAACAGCCCATGCAATCGGGTATATATGATTGTTTGCATCACGACCAACCGCTGATAGTAACTCCCCTTGGCAAACACCCTTCAAAAAACACCCATCAAGATTAATCACTCTTCTGTAACTCTCTATCCACCCATCTTTCACACTTTTGAAACAAACATAGAAACGGTTGAAGTAATTCTTTCCATCTGACATGTGATTAACATCTAATCTAACTGTTGATCCTGGATTGGATCTCCTTAACTCCTCTGCATAGCTCCATAATTTTGCGTAATGGTCTTCTAAACAACCTTCAAGCTCTTGTAGAGCAGCTTTCTTGGCTCTTTTGCACTGCCCCATACTCGCCTTCAAATTATACGTTTGTAGAATGTCAATTACCATATCACGACAACTCAAGTTTGGGTTCTCTAGGATTTTTCTTTCATAATTTTTTGCAATCCACTTGTAAGTTACTAGCGATCCACCATGGAAAATCCTTGCACAAGTATGATTTTCATTCAAGGTTTTAATCTGAAAAGTTCGTTCTTTGGACATCCAAGATGCCCACAACCGAAATGGACAACCATTCTGTTCTTTTGATCGTCACCCACAACGCACAATAACTCGCTGTTTATCATTAGTGACAAAATGTAAATCATATCCATTTGCCACCGAGTAGTCTGTAAGCAAGGTTCTTAGTTGTTCTTTGTCTTCAAAACACATGCCGCAAATAGGTTTCATTTCCTTCCAATCCACTGTGGGGTTATATGAAGGAACACTTTTACTTGTTAAATTTCCTTCACCATTTGTATATGCAGGCAAGACATTCAAGAATGGATCCTCATGGATTCTCCTGGTTTCTATATTCTCCTGATCAATTTCATGTTCCATAGGGGAATCAGCAAGTAAACCATCTTCTTCATCATCCTCTTCATACTCAAACTCATCATCCTCCTCATCTTCTTCATAATCATGGTCACCATCCTCCCCATCACTCCCATGAAGTTCATCATGTCTGAAATCAATTTCATAAAGATGAATAATTTCCTCTGCAATCCAATCTAGTACATCATAGTCATGATCATCAACATAGATAGAAATTTGACCACCATGAAGACGTGCCTCAGAAATTTGACCACCATGAAATTTGACCACCGGTTACAGTGACCATTTAAGAACAAAATAGAAAGTTACATGACCTTTTAAAACTTAAACATAGTTAAGTGCCCAAAATAGAACAAATCAGAAAGTTAAGTGACCAACTTTTACCTAAACCCTATTTTATAAGAACTAGTAGAGTGCATATTCCTCGTAAATTCAAATAGTGTTGTTATTCTCTATGTGAGTCGTTACAACCATACTAATGTGACGAGAGCGCCCGCCTTGACGTTCTTCAGGCGTCAGTTTCTAAAGATAATTGTCACCCTAGACTGGCCTGTCTAGCTGTAGCGAGCAGCTCAGGTGTAGGGGTGTCAACCCTGTATAGATCTATACACAATATCCCGCTCTCCCTCCAGGAGACTCTCGTTATAACTACATAACTTACAATGTACACTAGGTAGGTACGAGTGAAGGAGTACCCCACAAGAGCCTTAACAGAATTTACGCAAATATTGAATCCCATTATTTAATGTTATAAATAATGTTACTAGTGTATACTTACGACTGCCATTCATGACACACAACTTTCGTGTCATGAAATAAGTTTAGTTCACCAATTTGGTAGATTTATTTATAAAATTCTTCTTATAAATATTTAAGATTGGAACTAAAATAAAATAACCCATTTTTACCATAAGTGTCAAAAATAGCACATTTTACTATAAGTGTCAAAAATAGCCCATTTTTACCATAAGTGTCAAAAATAGCCCATTTTTACCATAAGTGTCAAAAATAGCCCATTTTTACCATAAGTGTCAAAAATAGCCCATTTTGAGTGACATTTCCATATTTTTCCATTTTTCAAGACAAAAATTTGCTTTAACATTTTCTTAGACATATTTTTGTGATCTCGCAAATCAAGAAAATTATTTCTTTTCACTTAGTAACTTGTTTCCATTTTTGACAAACACCAAGATAAATGAAAACACATAAAGATAACTAAGCTCCAACAACTTGAGACTTAGCAAAATCTCAAGTTCTTGGAGTGTAAGCATGAAATATCCACATTTCATCACATATAAACAAACATACACACAAAAACATGCGAATATACAAAGATATTCACAAGACTAGACTTGTATCCTCCCCTAAAAGATAGAAATCTAGAAAATAAGGGGCATGAAGGTCACCTTGGGGCCTTTTTCGAAGTGAAGAAGGGAAAAGATGAAGGATTTTCGAGTCATAGATTGTGCCTTGAAGAGATCTCGAAATGATGGTTGTTCTAAGATCCATATTCACGAAAATTGAGTGTGAGAAGAAGATTTTTAGTGTAGACTTGGAACAAAACAAAGGAGTTTAACCAAAGACTTACCACGCTTATGATCTTTGAAGAAGGCTTCCTTGAAAGACACACATACTCACGAGTTTTAGAGAAAGAGATGAGAGAAAAATTGAGGGTTTGAGAGGAAATGAGAAGTGAGAATGAAAGTTGAAATGAATTGTGGGGTGGGGGGAATGGCTCTCGGCCGATTAAAGAGAGAGAGAGAGGGGAGAGAGAGATGCATGGAAGTATGTTGGACAACACTCAAGCCTAGATACATGCAAGGTAAGGAGCATTGTTACATGTGGTGCCAAAGTGAGGTGTCACTTGTATTAACCATCATTACTTTTTTTTATTTTTTTATTTTTTATTTTTATATAGATGGGACAACCGACCCAAGAGAACTCCTCGGCCCAAGGGGTGGCCTAAGAAAAGTAGCCCGATTTTCGGTTTGGCCCAATAAGGGTTCTCGGCCCATTAAAGCTTAATAGATGGTTTTTGGTTCAAAGGACTAATTTGAGAGGTTATCGGCCCATTAGGGCCCAATAAGATGGTCTTGGCACCAACTAGGGGTTTTGGGCCGAGGGAACTTGGACTAAGGCCCAAAGTTGAGTAGTCTTAGCTTATGGGATTAGGTTTTGGGCTTACACGAGGAGGTTTCGACTTGAATTACAATTTTTGGATGTATAAACCTAAATAGCATTGGAGTTGATTTATACCAAACAGAGTGTTACAAGGTTACACAAAGGGGTTTTCTTATACAAGGATAGAAACTTCAACCCTAATTTTCTGATTGTGACATCATCCCCCCGTTAGAGGGAATTTCGTCCCGAAATTTGATCTAAAGTAACTCTCAAGTAGTAGGGAAAAGATGTGGGTGCCTCAGTTTCGTCTAGTCTCTTCGTTCCTAGGAGAATTTAGGTATTCGTTTAGCGTTTTGGTGGACCTTCGCTATTGGCGTTGACCTTGCTCCTTTGGTTTCCCGGTCCATTACTTCTATGAGTTCTTCGATGAAATGGAGGTATTCATTCCCTTTAATTATGTCAACCGAGACAATGAGAGTTTCATCGGATAAGCAATTATTTTAGATTGGATGCATGAATGACAGGGTGTACATGGCCGGGTTCAAACAGTAGTGTTTATGAGCCATTGGACTAATTTTAGCAAGGATTTTCAAAGGTCCGGTGTGCTTTGGGTTCAATTTTCTATGCTTTTCCAAAGCGTATTATCTATT